CACACACACACACACACACACACACACACACACACACACACACACTTTTCTCTCTTGTAACGATATAGGCTGTCCATTTCCAGTAAATATATTATTGATCGGCTCTAGATCTATATTATTTCATACCGTGGGCCCCTCTATCTTTGAACGCTGCTTTATCGCAACAGCTCTTTTGAGAACTATTCCAAACACAGCAGCTCCCTTTATGGCGTACTTTTATTTACGGTCGTCAGTCAACTGTTCTTATCCACAACACCTTGGGCTGCGATAATAATCCTCAGTACTACACAGTAGCTGTCGGGGAGTGTCAGTACCACGGCAGCAGGACAATGGGGCGACGACTCCCGAAGAAATTAACGCGGGAAGGCGGCTGTTGACCACCCGCAAAATAAATCTGTTGTCGCGGCTCGATTGGCGGTGGTAAGCCCCGAGGCCACCAGTTCTATTACTCTGGTGTAGGGAAGGTGTTCTGTTCTTTTCTTTTTAAACATGAACAGTCGCGGCAAGTTGATTTTTTAATAATCGTGTTTGGAATTTTCTGTCTGGCCCTTACGCCTAAATAAAGATTCATGAACTTCCCTTGCAGTTGCCATGTTCTTTACTGATGTCAGATTTGGTTTGGAAGCAGAAGTCACCTCTTGTTTCAAAGTGGGCGAGATAACTGAAAGAAAGAATGTGGAGAAGAGTGGGCTGGAAACTATTTTGTTCAACACAATATGCTGCTCCAATTTAAAATAAAAGACAACCAACGTATAGAATATCAGTTTACAAAATACATGTACACCGAAAAAAATATAGACAAGAAACACCTGAACATATTAAAAAATTTGTGCAATCCCTGAGTGGGAACAAAGGGGGGAAATCCACGTTTGTGAAAGGAAATTCATTAATAAAAAGTTTGTCTCATTAAAACAAAGTGTGGTACATTAGCTAGAGGTTATTAAGTCTATTTATATAAAAGCATTTTTAATTTACTTTGTAGAATTCAATGGAATGGTAAAATTATTTTGGTGACCCAAGTCGGGAGTTGCTACAAACTCCCAAGTTATTTTTCCCTTCGTGGTGCAAGGCAGGGGATGAACTGACCTCGTGGATGTAGCTTGGTGACTCCTGTTTAAAAGAAAGCAAGATACTAGTTTTGAGTAGAGAAGAAATGTCAGCACACATGAAGGGCCATAGGCATACAGTACTACAAAAACTAAAAACTGTCACAAATGAGCCAAAAAAATGGTGAATGTGAAGATTAATTAATCTGAGCTTGCAGATTATAACTGGTAGGTCCTATTTCTTTACTTTCCCTCTGTTGTTTCTGTCTGTCTTTCTTACTTTTTTCCAGTACTGAATGACCTTTATTATGTCAATGCGCTTCTCTTGACTCAAACAAAAAAAAAAAGAAAAGAAAACTATAGGGTTTTATTATTTTATATAGTAACTAACTACAAATTGTCTGCCACACTGAAGGTTGCTGGGTTTTCCTTTTTTTGTGGGCTTTATTTCCACCAACCAATCATTACTTGGCTCTCTTTTTACTTTTGTCACTGTAATTTTCAGAGTGCATTTATGTTATGTGTTTCACCATATAAAATATCGGGTTTGAAAATTAAGTGTACCAAGGGTACTTCCATTGTCACCATCCGTGACTCCCCGCCTAAAATGTATGAGTGGAGTTGACTTCTTTGTTGTGACTGCGCTTAAATTTTAAAAATTCTTCTTGCAAGCAAATTTGTTTAAGAAAAAGTATTATAGAGTGGGAGAAAAAGGTCCATTTCTTCAGTAAGATCTAAAATGTACTGGTTTACCTTTTTATTTATTTTTTATACCGCAATATTTTTTGTTCTCCTAGTGTTTCATTAGCCAGTGATGTACTGTATTTAAATCCAAAGCCTTTGGGGGGGGGGGGGTTATTGGTGAGGGCGTTAGACAAAAAGAATTCCTGTTATCGCAATTTACATACCATCCATTTATAAACGTCTAGTCATCCAGTCATTGCTTGAAGAACAGCTTTTTCCGGTAAGCGCATCATGTTGTTTGGAGCGTTGACCTTTGCTTTGACTTGTGACAGCCAGCCAGTCTGTTAATTCCCCCTTTTGCAGATTCCATGATGTTATGTGCATGTCTTCTAAATTATGTTGTGTTTTGGTTAAAGAAAAAGTGTTCAGATTTCTTATTTTTGTGCAATATACTTTTTCGTCTTGGACCGACCAAAACTGATTGTGGTGAAAGGGGGGGGGGGGGGGGGGGAATGTTGTTGATTCTCTGATCGTGTCTGTTCCTTCTACTGCTTCTTATTGTCGTTGCCTTGTGAAAAGTAGCCATGATGTTGTGTTTACAGAAGTTTGCATTTATTTCACGCAAGCATTTCTCTGCTTTTGATTCAGACTGTCGCTGCCCAAATGGCCAGGCATGCATGGACAATGGCACCTGTTGTCACCAGTGGTGCCTTGGTGGCTGTACAGGGCCAGGGAGTGGGGACTGCCTCAGCTGTAAAGGCGTCGTCTTTGAGGGGAAATGTCAGCCTCATTGCCCTCCACACACCTACATGGTAAGGCACTGCTGTGGAAATAAATGTCGTTACTTTCAAAAGGGTCGCAGATTTTCTCGGCAGTATAAACCAAACTTTTATTTATTTATGAATATCTGATGCTCATTGAAAATGCTTTTTGTTAAACTTTCATAATAGTTTTAGTGAGGTTTATGTTGATTTTTAATAAATTAATGTATATATATAGCCTATATAATATATATACAGGGAAATAATATTCTCTTATTTGATGCAACCTTTTTAAAAAGGAAGTTGTTACGGGACTCCCCTAACGTTGCTTACTCAGGGACTGTGCCCCTTTTTTACAGTCCCCTGGCGTTACTTTGTGCACTGGGGGACTGCAAAGAAACACACACACACACACCCCACAAGCAGTCAGCGATGAAACCAACTTTGCATTGCGTAGTGACGTCGGCAAAGCGGGCCCGCCTCTATAGAGTCTTTGACTAATACAAGGCCTACTACTAGATCGAGATCTGAACTTGTTCTAGGCCTAGATATAAAAAGACACAGACTGCAAATGTTTTAATTGAAGAAGAGTAGACCTACCATGTAGTGTAGTATACAGTATGTCAAAAGTACTACTAGATCTAGATCTAGATAGATCCTGATCCTAGATCAACAAACCTGTCGACATAAATGATAAATTTGCCTTAGATAAACTGTTTGGCTGTAGATCTGGATTCTCCCTCCATACTAATTAACTTTGAACTAGATCTAGATATGTATCAGTAGGATCTTGATCTACAATGTAAGAACTAATTGTCTACGTCAATTCTGCTGGATTACCAAACCTTTTGACATTCGCCTTTCACAACAACAAAAACAGTGGGTGGCTCTGCCATACTCATTAACTTTTTCAGACAGAACATGGTAACTGCCAAAAACATCGCCAGCAGTCAAATCAGACGTCATGTTGTCAATTTGTCATAGGAGTCATGGGGTGAAATTTAAATGTTGTTGTCTGTGATGATGGCTTGTCGATCCAAAGGTCAAAGGTTGTTTCTTTGTAGTCCCCCAGTGCACAAAGCAGCGCTAGGGGACTGGCGCTAGCAGCCCCCTAACAACTCCCTTTTAAAAAAAGGTTATCTTCAAAATTTATAAACCTAACTATAGCATTAGTGATGGGCAGGTATCGATACTACATACTCGATACTTAGATACCTATAGGTATCGGTACCGATACCTGCTCTAAACATCGATTCCTATGTGTTATTTATCCCAGGGTTGCCAAAGCAAGTGACTTGGGGAGAAGGCCTAGTACTTGGGCCTTGAGAATTTTTTGTTTATCAAAACTGATAAGTTTTCGTAGGGGGCAAGCGTTTGAAATGAATCTAGTGATTTTTTAACAAAAAGAGACGTTTTTCATGAAATCTATCTAGTGATTTTGCAACATCCTCACTGACAACCCTGATTTATCCTCATTGGTTTAATTTAAAGTTGCTAAAAATCTGGTAAATTGAATTGCCTTTTTAGAACTCTTGTGTTTTTATTTTCCAATACTAACATTTTCTGCAAAGTTGACTTTCCTCCCATACTTCATTTAGTTTTTGTTTTTATTCTCATATTTGGGTATTTATTTCTCTCTCTCTCTCTTTTACAAATAATTTTTGTTTGAGTCTCAGCTAAATAGTCATAACTTGTCTAGACACGATTACCTAAATACTTGGAAAAGTATAGTTGTATTTTTGTCTTTACTTTGTTACCCCCGGCGTATGTTACTAATAGCATTAGGTATCGAGGTATCGGTATCGATACCTTGAAAAAGTACTAGGTATCGACATCGATACCTAAATTGTGGTATCGGCCCATCACTAAGTATGTATCTTTTTTCCTATAGTGGTTAGTGAACCAGAGCTCAGTGTTCAGTGTAATAGAATGGACTTGCTGTAGCACATTTGCTCTGGAAACTGGGAATCATGCAAGGCTAAAACTGAATTTGATCAGTTGATTTTTACAAGCCTTCTTTAAAAAAATTGACTCACGTCTTTAATAGGTTTTTATCATTTGATGTCAATGATCTGTTTTTACCTTTGTATTCAACTTGTTTTTACATCTCTTCTACAGTACTTCAAAAGAAGATGTCTTACGGACAAAGAATGCCTGGGTCTCAGGAATAAGTCTAGAAATGGAGAAGGAAAGGCTATGATAGTTAGAGGAGAAAAGGGTGAAGGTGGCATGCCCAGCATGTGTGTCTCCAAGTGCCCAGACAAGTACATTGTCAGTGAAGTCGGAGAATTCAAGAATGCTGAGTGTGTGAAGTGTCAAGGATTTTGCCCAAAAGGTCAGTATTTTGATATAAGGACCTCAGTGGTTCAAATATTAGTAGCTGCTTTTGATACGTGGTGAATTAATTTTTCATATATGGTTTCCTGAAATGCATTGAAAATGTTATAGCATTCTGTTTAAAATTTATGTCAACCCATGTGTAATGAATGCACAATAGAAATATTTTAATCTAAAGAGACTGTTTCAGTTGAAAGAATTAATATTTGATTTAGTTTTACTTTAGTCTTATAGACAGAAGTAAGGAAATGTTCTGAAATGAATGAGTAAATTTACATAATCTAAGTTATGGAAAGTTGTGGTGAAAATCAAACATATTTTGTAGTTGTCTGCTCATTTCACTTTTTGAATTCATAATTACCATTGTATTTTAAAACTTATTGAAGACAAATTTAACATTTTGCTGTTGCAGCATGTGACAAAGCTGAAATACCTCATCATGTCCGAGTTGTTGTTTTTTGTGTGTGTATTGGTAGATGTTGAGATAAATTTGTGAAGTACAAATTTGTGAAGTACAAGTGCCAGTATTTGTATTTTGTTTGTTCTTTCAGTTTGCAATGGCACTGATGTGAACAGCCTGGAGGATGCTACAAGACTGGATGGATGCAGCAAGATCGTTGGTCCTTTGGTTATTCAGATAATGGGTGGCAGTAAGTGCTATTTTGTCTATTGTTTTTTTATCTTGTTGCTGTGTTTGATTTTGTTCCTGGAATCTATTTTTCCGGGTTTTGATTTTGTATTGTAAATGTTCTACCACCTCGTTAACGCAATTTTAATTAACTTTTGAGATTCCTGACTTGCCGCCAACCTACATTGTCTGAGAGACTACATTTCACCAGAAAAATGTTTTGTAAAAGCATCTCCCTCTCACAGGAATAGCATGTAGGTGTATAGTGTGCTAACTGAAAAGCCTAACTTTCATGCCACTGCTTTGTCTTTCTGATTCTTTAAGATACAAGATAGGACCTTTAGCATTAACTCTGGGACATAACTTTGTTAGAGCTGGTGAAAAGCCTACATTATTCCTTCAACTCTCTTGCCCCTACGGGTATTTGTTCTCATTACTTGAATTGTTTTGAGCAAGTCTGTTTTTAATTATAATAAATTGGTTATGTTCCTTTATACTTCTCACTTTTTTTTTTTTACAAGTTTAAAAGTAAGTTTGAAGAGAAATGTGCTGGTACGTTAAGTATATTGCGCTGGGTTTTTTTTAGAAATATTTCCAGAGAAAGATTAAGTCTCATTTTCTTTTTCATTCAAAAGGTAATGTTGCTCAACAAATGGAAAAGTATCTGGGAAACATCAAAGAAGTAACTGGATACATCAACATTCGACGTTCGATGGCTTTGCTGACCCTGTACTTCTTCAAAAACTTGGAAATTATTGGTGGTGAAAATCTGGCTCATCAAGGGTAAGACAGTCTGGCTGTGATTGAAAGGCATGCTTGAGGGTCAAAGTCTGATGCAGCTTGTTTGATTTTCCGGAATATTTGTACAGAGTTCTGGTTAACCCTTTCAGCCCCAGCCATTTTTGTGCAGTCCCTAACCCCAGTCTTGGCCAATGCAGCAGTATTTCAGAAAAAGAGACATGCATTCTAAAAAGTGATGTAGTATCTTTGTAATGAGGTTTGGATAATAAAATATAACAATGTGTAAAGGTAAATGAACAAGTGTTATGAAAATTAAAATCTAATTAAGTTCCCTAATTTTGAAAAATGAGCATGTCTGAAACTGAGAATATATGCTCTTGGGATGGTGGGAGGTACAAGCGCTGCTGGAATTATATTGGCATGGGGTGGGGCTGGAAGAGTTAATGCATCTATTAACACATTACACCCTAACTCGCCCAGGACCACCCGGGAATTCCCTTACGCGCTCCACCCTGACTCGCCCGGAACCGCCCGCGCCGACCTAGCATCTTTAGAAACGAAGTCTCGCCTTGACAAGATTTTGGGGCCGAGATTTTGATTTGCATAGTTATTGCAAAAAGTTTCTTCTTTCGTTTGACACCGAAACAAAATTTTTCGGGCCAGTAGTTTTAGTATTAGAGCAGAACGAAGTGCGATCGCGTTACCGACACTTCGAAAGTGTCTCGACTTGTTGAAAAGCGACACAATTGAGTTCGAAAAAGGAAATAACGATGGATTTGAGCAAAAACAAGTCTATGACAAATCAGATGATTCAAGTTTTGATGAAAACGTTGTAGCAAGAGTTTGGGGCGATTCAGATTCGTCAGACGTAGAAAATCTAGAATTTAGATCTAGGGCCCGACCGCGAGGCTGAGAGTGAGAGTGACGGCTCGGACACCCCGATTGAACTTGAGTTAGAACATTTCCCACAGTTTGCGCATACAAAAAGTTATAATTTTCTGAAATACATTCATTTTTCATTTTAACGTTTATTTTTTCAGGATTTTTGGAATTGGTTTAGTATTTTTTTAATGTGATTTTTAAAGGCTTGTATTCACGGGGGGGGGGTTCTTTCCCCTTGCTTAGGATCTAACAATAGACTTCCCGTCCAGGCCCTTAGGGTGTAAAGTGTTAATCATGTGGCACATTATACAAAGGCATGTGTATATTGTACTATTGATTTTTGGGGGGCAAGGGGTTTTGTTTTTGAAATATTAGATGAGTTATTTGTTTTCATACTGCCTTCAAAATTGATCATTTAAACGTATGTTAGTATTATTAGTGTTTTCACGGATTTATCTTCCTGTTTGGTAATATGAAATCAGTTAATGATAGAATGGTTTGTCAAATCTGGTAAATAAGTAACAGTTTAATGTACAGTGGCTTATGTAATTCGTACTAGTTGTTGAGGTAGGAAATTGTCGCATACTTATATGTTGTTTTTTATGAACAAAATGCAAATTTCAATATTTTTTCTTAAATATTGTGGACATAGTTTCACCGACCCGTACGGCTTCATCAGTAAGTTAACAAGAAGCCAGTGTCCATCTCAATTGTTCTCTAAGGGTGTCAATTCTTATTCCCAGGAGTGCACTTGTGGTGATGGACAATAGCAACTTGCAAGAACTCTTCCCAGAAGAGCAGATGAAGAAGATGAAAATCAAAAGAGGAAATGTGTCATTCCATAGCAACCGGAAGCTCTGTCTATACAGGATCAAGAAATTTGTGAGCTACCTCAATCTGTCCACCACTCCAACAGATAGTGACATCAGCCCTGCTACTAACGGGGATCTGAAACCTTGTAAGTAGACCTGTTCAACTTACAATTTATAAGGATGGTGGAGAAGTGGGACAAGCTCAATACCAATTGTTTGGTGCAGTCATTTCTCTGTTGGCAAAGTTATTGTCTTGAAATACATTTTCAAGAGAAGTTTGTTTTCGATGGGGGGGTTCTCAACAGGGGAAAGATAATGTCTTTTTGGAAGGAGGAAGGTTGAAAACATGTTCCTATTGTCCTTCAAGGCACGACTCTCGAAAGTTGAATGCTGTCATTGAATACTGACTTAGTTACATTACATGTATTTGCGCCCCCAGACATGATATTGCTGAAATTCCCTTCTCTCCTGGCAATTGTTCTGTGTTGATTTATTGTCTATTGTCACCAAACAAAGATTTATTGCAGTGCTGCTTTGAAAAAGACAAATTCGTGTACATTTGGCTTTTAGTTCTAATCGCCTAAAGTCTGGGCTCATTGGTTAACAATTTCAACATCATTAGAGTAATGCCTTCTGGTTCCCCCAACTCAGGAACACCTGCTATGCATAAATGCCTGTACCTTTCACCTATTTCTAGATCTTCTTGTGTCAGCCTTTTCATTTTCTCAATAAAATGTTTTGGTCAACAGAAGACTAAAGGACCACGCTGTCCATATTTTAATTATAAAAGTTAGCATACCTTAAACAGCATTCTATGTAGGTTTTATTTTACTAACGAATGCTCAGACTATATAGTGAGGTCAGAAATTCGTGGTGCAACTTATTGTCAAATATTTCCAAAATTATTGAACATAGACTCTCCAGCTTTTGCACAATGACTTGTGTCCATTTGTCTTAACAGATCGATATTTCTGTCCACCTGTTAGCTGTATCCGAAAAAATTCATAAGTACTAATAAAGAATCTGAGTGGGTGGTTTCTGTAGATTTTAAAAGGTTTACAGCTGGGGCAGTATCGCTTTTAAAAGCAAGTCCATCATATTTGTCTAATTGTGACACTATTTTTATTGAACACATAATTTATGACCTGTCCTGGGCAACAACGTCATTGCACACCGGACAGGTCCATAAGGAACACATAATTTGTGAACCTTTAGTGTAAAAAATGTGTTCACTACAAAATAAATTTCTTGTAACAAGTTTTGCCACTAAAAAGTGTCATCGTTGAGCTGTGACGCAGGCCATATGCATATGCAGAATGTTTGTGAGAAACGGGAAGTGCTGTGAACAATCCCATTTTCTGAGTGACGGAGATTTATAGTATTTTGTATCATTTTATGAAGCAAAGTTTTTTAATCCAGCCTCAATTTTTGTGAAAAAATATGATTCAAACTACTGTGCAAAGTATGGATAACATTGATTGATCCGTCAAAGAGGTATTTGAGGATAAGTTGCGCCATGAATTTTTTACTGCACTATAATGTCATTTTTCAGGCAAAGTATTTGTTTTAAAAACCAATCTATTAATCAGCTGCTTGCACTGTATGCTTCCCGGGAAGCTGAGAATGTTTCGGAGTGTTTTGTCACTGTGGTCTGCTGGGGTAATAATATAGTGTAAAGCGCATAGAGCTTGCAGTCGAGCGGGGATATGCGCTGTACAAATGCTATTTATTATTATTATTATTATTAATTGCCTGTTTGTTTTTAGTATTTAGTGATATGTTTTAGAAACCACTGGATATTCAGCTTGTTACATTTGTGTTGTGTTTATGTGATTTACTTTGCAAGAAAGTCCTTTTTTTTTAACATAATGGAAACATGTTATGTGTAACAGAAGTTATTTTACTGCAGATAGAATAGATTCTATTTGTATTTTGGAATTTCCTTTCTTAGCTCACTATCTGATGATGTCCTTCACTTTTGTTTCTTTGTGAAATAGGCATGGAGCATCAACTTCGCTTGGAGGTGCAGAAGACGTACCACAATTCCGCAGTACTTGAGTGGGAGAAGGACTCTGGTGATACTAGGCAATTGCTGACATACATCATCAACTACAAGGAAGTGTGAGTTGCTGAATTTTTAAAATCTATGGAATGCTTTCCAAATGTTAAAAAGTGTCATAGAAAATTATTGGAACGATGTCATGAATCCTATTTATAGTTCTTTGGTGACTTCATGAGCCTTGTAATTAGCTTTTACACATAGATTTAGCCTGGAGATGCCATGATACAATTACTTTTATTTGATTATTGTGTATAGGTACTTTTCTGACCTAGGTTTAATTTCTTTCTTTTCTTCTTCCAGTAAAGATGATGATGATTCGGACATCAACATCTTTCAAGGCCGGGACGCGTGCTCTGATGATGCGTAAGTTATTTTGCCTTTGGATAAATTTTATTTTTATAAAAATTTCGGGAAGGATGTTGAAGACATTTAATTACCGAACTAATTATGTTGAATGAAAGAGTTCAGTAGGTTAATGTACAAAAAATTGAAAGACATGGAGTTATGTCAGGAGGCTAGCCGAGTATAAGGAAAAGTCGAGAGCGAGTTTGTATGAGGTGCGTACCCTGATCTAGGATGAGAAAGGCAATGATGATGTTGAATGAGAATTGCTTTAAACTGTTTATTCAAGCTTTTCTAGAACTCATGAAACTTTCAGTGTTTATGATGTGTGGTTTGATAAGATTTACTGTTGTTGGCAATTTTTTAAAATTGGTTCTTATTTTTAAAGATGTACTGTAGTCTCCACCTAAGATCCCAGTGCTTGGCAGCAAGGAAAATGCAGGATCTTAAGCGAACAGGATCTTTACCAACGCACCAAGGGAGGAATCTACGGTGACCCATGTTCAGGCCCACAACCAGTGAAATAGTCTCCTTTCACTCTTTCTAAAAGACCCGGGGTGGGTTCGTGATGTGGCGAGCAAAGAGTAGTCAACCTTGATAACCAATCACAGTGGCATGAGGCTTGCCGTTTTCACTCATCGTCTTATTGCGAGTCTCATGATCTACACTTATCTAATTGCCCCCTCCTCTTTGCCTGTCCAAAATTTCATCTCCAAACGAGTTCCTCCGCCTTTGTCGTTACGCACCATTACGTGAATACAGCACCGATTAAAATTCAGTCTGTCTCGCAAATTCGGGAGTAGGGACAACTGCTGCAATAGTCAGGGAAGAGTTCACATTTCGATGTGATCCCGCCTTGATTGAACTTGGAGGTCTTACCCACCCAGTGTTTGATGCAAGTTGAGGAAGAGAGCTCAGATGCTAGTGCGACGTTTGGGGAAAACAAACTCGTCGGCCAGTTCACACCTCAGTGTTATCCTGTCTGAGGCAAACGTTGAACATGTCATTGAGTTTTACAAGGCCCATGTGATCACATTCAGGAGAGTGGCTGGTCTGTGAGGCAACGGGCAGTTCAATATTCTCAACTTTTCACTCTTACTTGATCGGCTGTGCCCCGAGTTTTTGTTCCGTAAATTATGATCTGAAATGCGGGATCTTTGCCGAATGTAGACCTTCAGAGTGAATCAGAGCAGGATCTTGGGGGGTGAAATTTGTATAGTAAAAATTATGTTGTTTTTTTAACAGCGGAATCTTAAGCGATTGTAAGCAGTGGGATTTTAGGCGGAGACTACTGTACTTCTTGCATTAATCCTTTGGAAAGTATCCAATCTGAAAAAGCGTCAAAACCGACATACTTATATTTATGGAGCACATTTGTGCTAGAAGGTAGTATAGAACATGATATGACCTTCAGAATTTGTGTTTTGTTTCTTATCTTGTGTTTATTTTTCCTTTTCTCTTCTCCCATTTAGATGGTTGACCAAGGAACAACCTCCCATAGATAATCTTGATAAATATCAGAGTGGTGTGGTGGGCAACCTGAAACCGTACACCAAGTATGCTGCGTATGTCCAAGCGTACACTCTGTCTACAGCGTCTCATTCAGCAATGACGAAAGTGATCATGTTCAAGACAGATCCTTACTGTAAGTTGTGGCATCTGTTTGGAAAAATGTATCTTTCTCTTGTGATGTTGTGAATTTCTATGCTTTTTCGCACTCTTGCCCTTGACCTTCCTTGTGCCTGAGAATTGATGTAAAAAAATTAGCAGGGGGTGTTTACAGTGTTGGGGGGGGGGGGGGGGGGGGCGTTTTGTTATCCGGACTGCTTTGGGCAGGTAACATTCTTCAGATTACTGTTTCCAACAGTATCAAAGAGTGACTCCCGTGTCCTTGGCTAAGTCGTATAGAATGTACTGAAGGGAAAAAAAACAATTTTCAGTGAGACTAAGGTGCTTAAAGAATGTTTTTTTAGAAGCTACTGCTTGAATGTTGGACTTAAAACAAGAATACATTACATTTTGAGCACATAAGGAGCTATTTTTTGTTTGAGGGACATGGGTTTTTTTTTAAGGGGGGCCAAAAAAAACAACAACCCATAACGGATTTCCTCTTATTTGTATATCATGGTTTTTTTCCCTTTTCAGACCCAACTGAACCAACAGATTTGGTGGTAACCTCTGATATGCCTAATGAACTGATTGTAACTTGGAAGCCACCAAAGTTTCCTCATGGAAATGTCACTCACTATAAGCTGATCTACAGGAAGCAGCCCCTCAACCCAACATCGTTTGAACAGAGAAATTACTGTGATCACCGTATGTATTATATATTTAAAATCAGCACAGAGTGTTTTTATAGAATTCCTGATGTGTTTGAGTTATCGGTGCCTGACTGTGTGTATCACCCTCTGAAAAAAAGAAAAGGACCGTTTAATGAGAAATAGTGCTCACATATTCTTTAGAAAGGGTAAAAGCTTAAACTGCTTCTGGTGCTATCATACTAGTGTACAATGTGGGCGACTCTTATTTGAATACATAATGGGGCAGTTATGGATTTGGCTGTTTGGAGAGTTCCATGATCCATGGTTTTCCTGTATCTTGTGGAAGTTCTGTGAGAAAGGGATATTAAAAGACTAGCTTGTTGGTTAATTCATGCCCAAGTGCAAATGATACTCAAATGTCGAAAATGTAAGGAAAAGTGGTAAATTGTAAAATTTTGTACAAAAAGTGGAGGAAATATGGCCAGAAAAATTGCTTTTCAACACTTATATATGCTAACATTGTAAAGCGAGCTGTGGCCTCTCCTGTATTGATGAGTTGAGCAATTTAAAGAACAATTCATGTTTAGATAAATGTAGATACCTCCCTCCTTGATATTGTTTTCTTTTTTGCTCTTTGCTTTTTCAAAAATTGCTGAACAAAAGTCATTGTGCGTTTAAATGTTGGTGTTCTGTTTGTTAATGTTAGATTTAATTTCTTTCGCGAACTATTTCCTTTTGCTGTATTTTACGCTTTCTCATTTAATCACTCTGACTTTGTTGCAAGTACAATTAGTTTGATATGTTATAATATTAAAACCAGACTGCTAAATCTGATTATTTTCTTCTTTTGTTATATTTTTTATATTGCCGCTATGGAATTTAGAATTAGGAACATTTCGTGGGTGCCACTTGTAAGTAATATTCTTCCCTTCTTTAGCTCAGTGTTTCTGTTGCTTTTACATTTCAGCTATTGTCCCATCGAAGGAAAAATATAAGAATGAAGCAGCAGAGGAAGAGATCAAACCCAACATTTCTGCTAACTGTTGTCTCTGTCCCAAGTCTCAAGAGCAGTTGAAGGAAGAAGAGCGAATGCAGAAAATTGAAGTCTACTTTGAGGACTACCTTCAGAAACATGTGTACTGCAAGAGGTAATGAAGTTACACATTGACATACATTTACCTGCAATTTCTTTGTTTTCACCTCGCGATTGATCTGCCTGTAATTTGGATGTCACAGACCTGTCATTTTCAGTGTGCTGTCAGTCTGCTGCTATATTGATTTTTGGCTCAATGAGACTAGGAGGAAAGTATGGAGTCATCTTGCCTTGACATTTACATTTGAGATTTTGTGTTTGGATAAAGGAGACAGGAAGAATTTAGGCAGAAAAGCTGTGGTCTGTGTTAAGAGATAAGTGCAATAATAGATTACCAATGTTTCAGTTACTTATGTAGAGGAAAAAATAGAAAGTTTAATTTTTTTCTTTGCTTTTGTTTTGTTTGTTTGTTGGGGTTTGTTTTTTTTAAAGAAAAGGTGTAGTTGAAAAGACGTTCAACAATTTGTTTTGGTATACAATGTGCTGACACAATTATTTCTGATCATTTTTTCATGATCTAGAATTAACCTGGAATTGAAGTAAAGCAGCCAAATCTGAAAGAGATGATTATTACAATTTATTACAGGAAGGCTTTCTGTCTCTCCTTTCACACCATTTTGTGACATCCTTACTACTCGATGAAGAATAATTACGTTTTACCGTTAAATTGATTGCATCAATAGATTTTTCAAACAAGAAGGCCTTGTTTCCCATTTTTTTATAATTGCATTAACACCTTGTATTGCATGGATTAGGAAAAGTTAGCATAGGAACAGACCTAAAAATTGATAAAAGATGAGAGTGTCTGGATAAATAGAAAAAGAGAGAGACAGGTGGCTAAAATAGCCAAAGTAAATGTTTCCCATTCGTAAAAGAGTACTTTTTATATTAGCTGTTCTTACTCTGAAATTATAATATCTGTTATAAATTTGTTTCTATCAAATGCTTTGTTGGTAGCTTAATTTGAAATAATGTGTTATTAAATAAATTTCTTTAAAATCTCTTGTTGATTGTATAAATTATATTAAGGGGTCTAGCTACTCACAAAGGCTATTTTTGTTATTAATGCATCTTTTCAAACCAAACTTTCACATGCAGTACCTTCCTTGAAATAATTCAAAACATTTTTAAAAGTTTCTACCCCAATATGTTATGTAATACCGTCAGCCATGTTAAAATTATATGATACTTGAGAAATCCTAAAATTTTGAAAACCAAAAGGCATAATGTTTACAAATATCAATTTCGTAGAAGCAGTTATAGGTAACTGACTGATGTTTTGAAATATTCTTACAATATTCTGGAATTTCTAGGACTTTAAAAGTGAGGTTTTTTGTTGTTGTTTTTTTGCGGTTGAAATTTTGAGCATAAAATGACTTTCAAAAGCAGATTTCTCAGGCCTTAACTATTTTTTGGAGAAAAAAATCTTGTCAGTGACATGTAACAACCGAATCTGCATATGTGTTAAAAGTGTCAGCACAGTATCCTGATTTGTAGCTGAGATTTTAGGATTCTAGTGACCTAGGGTATTTCAAAAATAAAGTTTTGAGGAAAAACGCATTTCAAAATGTCACTGTGTAATTTGAAGGTTAGTTCTTTCTGGAGGTTTCAGAACCACACGCACTATTATTTCTAATCACATGCAAAATTTTATGTCTGTACAGCTACAAATATCCTCACAACTAAAAGTTTAGTTAACCAAGTAGGCACAAAATGTAACAAATAGAGAGGAAAAGTGGCCAAGCAGTCTTTTTTTTTGCAAAAGAGGGGCGGGGGTTGAGGTCGTTTGAGACGTATTAAATTTTCACCTATTTTATCAATTATTTTTTTTACTATATGGACCATAAAATCTATGATCAAAGGTGTTAAAAAGCTGCTTTTCAGAAAATGTATAATTTCATCGAAAATTGACCTGAATCGTTACCCGCTACACCCTTTAAGTTGGTTTCTTCCTTATGCTTTTTGATAGCATGATTTTCTCTGTTGTTTAAATCTGTCTACAACATACTTTTTCTTCAAGCTATGTTTGTTACTGTGTCAAAATGACACTTTTTTTTTGTTCAACAGGTATGACAAACTACCAGATGGAATTGACATTGACAGGGTTTTGAACAGTGACCCTCAGCTACGAGAGCTTGCCAGTGTGACTCAGTTCAATGAGATACACGGCAAAAATATATCCAATGTAAAAGATGGAGACAAACTGGTTCCGTATTCTACCGAGAAGTCTGACAATGTGGAGGAGAAAAAGTTTGAGAGCAACTTTGACAAGAATGCCACTGACAACATCCAAGAGGTGGTAGTCTATGGCTTGAAGGTGGTTCTCCCGAACTTGGACCATTACCAGGAGTACAGTATTGAGGTATCGTAAAGTTGTTATGTACGCTGTATTATACTATACTCTTTTTGTATTTTCAGCTTGTTTTAGCCAGTAGGTGGTGGGTTGTTTTTTCTTCAAAATATCCAGTCCACTCAACAGCTGATTGAAATTTCGAATGTTGAGCAACATATTTAAAGGCGTGTTAGTTGAAACAGCATAGATTTTGAATGTTTTTGAGTTTAAATTTCAGTGATTTAGTTGATTTGCTCAAATTTTCCTTTTCAAAACTATACCACATGTCTGTAGCCCCTATGATTCGATAATAGCAAATTGACAACTGTCCTTGAGGTGGGCCAGCCTTTTAGGCCTTGTGCCTCATCTGCCAAACTGCTGTAGAAACTTCTGATGCCTTTCCTGAGTGCCACTCTACACGCCAAAAATTTTTCCTTCTGGTGTATTTGACACATTTTCATAAAATTACTCTGATTTTGTTGCAGGTACAATTAGTTTGATATAGATTCTATATTAAAACCAGACTGCTAAATCTGATTATTTTCTTTTTTTAAAAATTTTATGCTACCACTGTGGAATTTGAAATTAAAAACTTTTTGTGTGTTTTTACTGACCTGAATATTTTTCCTACATGGACGTATTGAACATCAGTGGCAAGCAAAACTGCAGATCCTATGTGCACAAAAAACAACCAGGTTCATTTAGGAAGTCATTGTTCTATTGAACTACTTATATTGATTGCCGATTGGACCAACACCAGAGTCGGTGAGACTACCATCGCTCTGATGTGCCAGGTTAAAAGACGAAATATAGAATGCTGAAAGATATTACAAATGAGCTTGACAGGACACTGGTGAGTAAAGTGTAAGAATATGACTGTGCCAGTCTTATTTCACAATGTTCGTCGTGTAGGGAACAGATTTATTTTTTTTACATAATTCAAAAATGATCTGTTTGTTCTGGCAACAGCTGTTGTATTTTGAAATTTGATATTGAAATAGAGAAATGCTATTTGTAATTTTCAGGTCCAAGCTTGTCAAGACACCAGTGGGAAAGAGAACGTGAGCAAGCTGTGCAGTTACAACAGAGCTATTACTCTTGGGAGAACAAAAGCCGCACGTAGGTGTCATAAAACTGATACAGTTGGTGTATGTTTTTTGTATGCTGATTACTGCTTTTTGTACATTTAGTCATATTTTAACTACTTGTATTTTTTATCGGGTGGGAAAGTTTTCTTTGGTAGGTAGAGCTTTAGAAATTTAGTTCTTGTAGAGACCATAATATGAGGTTGCTTGAAGGACCTCTTTCTTTGTTAGGGTGTTAATTATTAACTGCAAATTTTCTTCGGCAGTATTTTGGTGGTGTGCCCTAGTCAGTTTGTGAGGGGTGCCTGGGCTATGTAAATATTTTCCATAGTTCCACCCCCAAAGGCTGTAGTAAAACATGTGTTGAGGAAAGGATTGATCTTCTAATAAGAAAAATGTCTGTTTGAACCAAGTCTATCTTGTACACCTTTGAACCTTCTGACCATGAAGTTACTTTTCCAGCAGCATTTTGTGGTGTAGAGGTCCTACTTTTCTCATTTTGTTGGCAAAGTGTGAGTTCCAACCCACATAGAGAAGAATTTTTCTTTGTTTTGTAAACAGGGGTGTATTCAACAATGCCAACGTCGACCTCACAGAGAATATTGAATAATTTCTTTATAAATTTGTTCAATTTTATGGATGGGCTTTAAAAATGTTTTCATTATTCACAGTAACTGTTTGGTTATGTTGTTCAAACCAGTGGTTTTATCCTGGCTACATAGTTGACATTTCTGTCTCCAGAGGATGTTGACAAGGTGAACGTTTCCACAATTGAAGTGGACGTTATCACCAACAACACTGGTGAAGTCCTGCTGAAGTGGCAGCCGCCTGCTCGGCCCAATGGCCTTGTTCTCATGTACAATATCTATTACAAACGAGCCAACCAAAAGGATGTGAGTGGTTTTTCCTGATATTTTTTTTTTTTTGGGGTGGGGGGGTTATTTTGTGAGTTCAAACAAGGCTTTTTATCAAGTCTAATGTAATGGCATTGTTGAAAGTAAATTGTATTTTTGCCATAGATCTTGTAGTTTGAAATTAAATTTTTCAGACTGAAAAAAATATTTGTAACCCTTAAAAACATGTATCTTTTCTCAGCAAAATTTAGCATTGTGTTAATGTCATGAGTGTCATCGGAGTGGTAGTACTGTGTGGTTAGCTATGGGATCATGCGGTAACCTGTGTTGTGCCAGACATTGCATGTCCTCTCATATCTCTGAAACCTTGCTTTTTTATCTGTTTTTGTTTTTTTCTTGCTTTTGCCACTTTTTGTCCTGACAATTTCTCCCTTTCTGCCGCATAAGGTTTTCTATGACCCACGTTCAATTATGATAATTGTTTCAACTAGTTGCTGTATTTCTCACTAATTCTTTCTTCATTTTTAGTGTAGTTTTCACACAAATTCATGTCATAAAAATTCAAAAGATCCTCGCAGACTTTTTGGTTATTTAAATGCACAAATGGAAAGTTTAAACTGCTTCGGAAAATAATAATAGATAGCATTTGTATTGCGCAAATCCTTGCTCAACTGCAAGCTCTATGTGCTTCACAATCTATACTATTACCCCAGCAGACCAGGGAAGCGTACAGTGCTAGCGGCCATTTACAGGCGCCAAACACTGACGTACTGACAAGATCTTTCACTGTCTGTGGCCGGGTACCCATTCCCACTGGGTGAAGTGAGGAAAATTAGTGTAAAACGCCTTTCCCAAGGACACAACGTCAGGCCAGCAGCTCGAACCCCCGAATCCACAACCTCACGATTACGAGTCCAGTAGCCTAACCACTAGGCCACCGACGCCTACAAATGGGCTCTTACTGTCAGCTTGAGCAGAAAGGGATTCTTATGTATACATGGCCATGATGACGGAGTAGATAGATCAAGTGTGCCGCTGATAGATATAATTGTGCTTTCTTTTTGTTTAGCAAGTCCCTCCTTCTTGGAGTGCCTGAAGACGCCCCAGTTTTCACTTTTTTCTTCTGGTTCTATCATACAATAGTTGGTAATACCTGGAAATTCTAATAATCCCACCTTGGCTTTTGAAGTTCTGGGGTGACTTCTCTCGTCGTCGATTTATGTGTTTCTGCTATTATATCGAAGCCTACTGTCTCTTGATTTGATAATATTTTTTTCTTTTTCAGCTGGTTCCCCAAAAATTGTGTGTGAACATTCTTGAATACCAAAAGCACTCTGGCTACAAACTGTCTGGGTTGGGACCAGGCAATTGGACAGTTCAGATCGAACCTGTGTCTCTCGCGGGAAATGGCTCCCACAATATTTCCCACACTGCCCAGAGATTTTTCATCATTCCCCCTCCTCCAGGTAAATGAATAAATATCGTCAAAGGTGCTTGATCAATAAGAGTGCGTGTGAAGTTTTGGTGGGAACATATATTGTTCTCAACATTTTTTTACCTCAACCAAGACAGTTTTATTTGATTTCGGGTTGTAGTTGATTTTTTGTTTGTTGGTGTTTGGTTGGGGGGTTTTTTTTTGGGGGGGTGTAATGGGATGGTGGGGAAATAGCTTTGGTAATTGCATTTTTAAAGTCTTCTTTCATCTGCATAGTCAATGCATCAGCTTTTGAGACATGATGATTGGGTATGCACTCATTTAACCGACTTGTTTTGTTGCTGTCCAACAGGTGAAGAGGACATGAGCAAAGTGATTATTGCAGTGACTGTTATTGCGGTTATTGTGGTCATTGTCTTTGTGGTTGGAATCGTGTGGGCAATCGCTAAACACCGGTAAGCTGCAGTGTCCATTTTTAAAATTGTTTTATTCAAGAATTCACATTTTATTTCCTGCGTTATTTTATTCTGAGATAGTGTATTATAATTGGTAATGCTTATGTATTTTCCAACTATTGTGTGTGAATTTTCTTGTCACTTAGGGCATGTGTATGTGTTTTTGACTGTTGACTGTGTGCTCATTGTGAGATTACATTTGACTTTTAAATTGCAGCTATTTTGTTTTCATTGCTGAAAGTGAGATGATTATACAAGTTCCACATTTTCCCACAATTTTGTGTGATTGATCGATCCCTCACTGCGTTCCAGTGTACATATATTCACATTTTTTACACCATTTAGTGATCAAGCGCAATCTGATCCATCCATAAGAGTGCTGTCTGTAGTTATTGGGGGAAAAAAAACACCCTTTACCAGACCTTGTGCTGTTGAAGCTAGAGAGGTGAGCAGTCTAAGTCTGATTCCCTGTGAAGACTTCTCCGTTGACACCCGCCCCTTGACACTCATATGACCTTATGCAGTTGCGAGCGCCGTAAAACCCTCTACTATTACTATAAGAAATAAAAACTTCTGTAGGACTTTTGGGCTTGCCAAAGATGGACATTTAATTGTTCTTACCTTGCATTGTCTTGTGTAATTAGTCTGCATGTTTTCTCTGCTCCAGGTTCAGTCAAAATGCATTGACGGTCATCTCTCCCAACATCAATTACATGCCCTCTGAACAAAGTGAGTGACTTTTTACCATATCATTCTATATGTTATAACTTAACACTTTGCGGTCACTCGGCGCAATAATGCAACGGTGAAAATTATCCGTTCCAGTCACCTGGCGCAGGCCGGAGAAGTCCGCTGCAGTCACTCTCCTGGCTGGGTGACCAGATGGGGTATTTTGTACTGTTGGCTGTGTGACTGCAAAGTGTTAATATTGTTGTCAGTAAATCTACAACCTCTTGTCTCTCACCCTTCTATTCTGTTGCGTGTTGTAGTATGTGAGTATGTCATAATCTTGTGGTATTCTCTATTGGCAGTGCTTCCACTCTTCCGTATTTTTACGGAAATCCATACTTTCTGCCAGTTCCGTACTTGTTCCTCCATCATGTTCTACTCCCTCCGTAAAAACCTGCAACAGCGCAGGACTGCAGAAATTCCGTAGCAAAAGATCCATACTCGCCTTCGTATCGTGTATTTATAGTTACGGATATTTACGGTAATTCTCTCGGCAATAAGTTAATGTTATAGAAACCTGCCAGATTGCATTTCCTGCAATCCGCCACTATTCTGCTGTGCCCCATGCATTCATTGCGGTTTGGTTGGAAGTACATTTTTACCTGCAGATTGATCAAAATCTGGAGAACTTTTTGTGCCAATTTCCTCCTTTCTATCATTCACTCATTTCTTTTGTCTATCTTCGGATTGTTGCCCTGGCTAGAAAATCTGCGTGTTGATCAAGTAAATTGACTTGTGTCTCTAGACAGAAAATTACTGTCAGAAAGAAACTTTGCAAATTTGTCAAGATCTAGAGAAATTGTCAATGCGAAGATTCTACGGCACGGGAACGCGATAAGGGCCACAATGAAAGAAATTTATGCTAAAGACTACTAAAATCAAGAATAATTCGAAGTAGTGTTCCGAGGTTGTGACATAACGACATTTAGGCGTGAAAATTTAGGAAAATTAGGGTATACGCTGGGCAACTGTATTGTGAAGGTACATGAATATCTATTCATTATTTGCAGGTTTGCTTTCTGTCAATGGTGCGATGGCAAATTAATTGAATTATAATAGTAGCAATGGAAGTGGAACCTGCTTTTAAACATTGATAGCAATGGAAAGACAATGGTGAAGAAATCAATGAAGACAAAATTTTTGCGAAAAAATACATGTTATGGGTTGTAGGCAATCTCTTCAAACAGGCTCCCAAATGCCATTTTCAACCCTCTAAAGGCACTAAATTATTCGGCCCCCAGACCCCCGGCAGAATTTTCCTTACTTTTCAGCTTCAGCTGGTGGAAGCACTGATTGGTGTATTAAAAGTTTATCTATTTGGGGATCGGGAGAAAAAAGTCTATGGGGCATTGAAAAAATAGATTCTGAATAGTAAGTGTGGCCACGGTACAGGCAAAATGGTGAAATTTTGGGGATGGCTACTATTCAAATGGCAGTGCAGTATCCATGTAGTATTTGTAGGTGGGAGATTGTGTTTTGGTCCCTTCTCCCGTGGGTTTTAGTGCTTTTCTCTTTGTTTGATATCAATTCATGAAAGCTATAACAGTTTTACAAAGCAAGGCATCTCATAGCTTCTCTTTGTTTTGTTCACTGCATTCATAACAGGATGTTGTAAATTATACTTCTGAATATGTGATGTAATAATACATTTGTGAATATTGTGTCTGTTGATGGTTTTGTGAATTGCTAGATTGCTGTTAGGTTTAGTTCTGTTGCTGATTTTTTAATTAATTTTTTTTCTTCAGCCTGTGTTGTCTTGCTTGCTGTCAATTTCCTTACTGTTATTTCAAAGTGTCTTCTGACCTGAGCTCATCAGAAGTGCGTGAACCAAGTCTGTAGCATCCTTGTATATACTGAGCTGCAAAGATACTTGAGTGTTGATATTTAGATATAATGGACTGTTGAAGATTTAGTCATCATTCCAAAAGCTGATGACTGAAAGTGCTTTTCTCTTTTGGCACAGTGGTTGTTTAAGTTATTTTCATAATTGATGAAAGACGGTTGGTAATGACGTTGTAAACTTTGTATAGTGGAAGTCTAGATGGATTGAAGGGATGCATTTGAAATGTATTGGTACTTTTTTTTTTTCTGCAGTCACTAGTTTTTTTCCTAGCTCTGGATGAAGTTCAATTTTTGGACAATTTCCTTCAAATAAGCTGAATCCAAGAATTTTACATATTGCATTGCTTCTTTACTATTTCAGTTTACAACATGGATGATTGGGAAGTTGACCGGGACAAGATTAAGCTGATCAAAGAGCTTGGACAAGGATCGTTTGGAATGGTATATGAAGGAATAGCCAAAGGCTTGGGAGAAGATCCAGATGAAGAAATTCCAGTGGCTGTTAAGGTACTGAAACATCAAATACAATACTGAAAGTAGGATAGTTGTTTTGTTGTATAAATTTTATCTTACCTGTTCAGAAAGGTGGGGGGAGGGGGACAAAATTTACAGAAAAAGAAATATCTTGAATAAGTGAAATCATATCTCAAAAGACGTATAAATGGTTTCAAGCAAGCATAATCCCAATTTGCACCAGTTTTATAATGCTTTACCTAACTCAACTGGGTCAAGGACAGTATAAGATTGTGGTGTTTTCAGCGTCTATTACATACAAAGTTCATGTCCTACCTTTCCATGTTTGCCTCACAGTATGACATTGAATTTTATTGGCTTTGTGTGAGTGAATTTGAGTTTTATTGAAAAATTGCTTATTTCAACAACCCATGGAAATTAAAATACTGGTGAATGTAGTTTACTGTGTCTTTTATTATTATCCCTGTGATCTTTCTCATTGCAGCTCATGGAAATGAAAACACAAGTCTTAGTGGTTTACTACTTCTTTAATTGTTATCCTTCTGATCTTTCTCATTGCAGACTGTAAATGACAGGGCAAGCTTCAATGACAAGAGGGAGTTCTTGAAGGAAGCTACAATTATGAAGTAAGCTTTACTCTTGTGTTATTAATTATGCTCTCTGATTGATGGCTTGGTCATTCTTAATGAAAAGGTTTTAAAAAGTGCTTATTTATAGTGATGTGGGCCTTTTAACAACAGATTTACATAATTTCCCTATTGTCCTCTTGGTTAGGCAGTTTCTTCACGGGATTGACCAACACTGTCACTCAGGGACAATAGCAGCTTGTAAATTCTGTCCTGCTATCATTTATATATTCTACCTCTTTCCATTGCAAAGTACCCATTTGCAACTGTTAACAGAAGAAAGTAGGGTAAAACATCTTTCCAAAGGATCCCGTGGGAAATGCTCTTCAAGATGTACATTCAAACCTGCTCTAATGACCACCTGTCCAGTCCAAATTCTAATTTATTTTTTTTCAACATTGTAGTCCAGCGAGGACCACCTGTCTAAGGTAACCACTTTTCTAAGGCTTGGGTGGACATCTTGGAAAGGTTTGATTGTATTTCATAGTGTGCTTAATGTCAGAACCTGTGAGTAATGAAAGTAAGACTACATCATTTACACTATGTTAATATTTATTACTGTTTATCATGTTCTTTCAGGGCGTTCGATTGCTTTCATGTTGTAAAGCTGCTGGGAGTAGTGTCTACTAGTCAACCAGCCCTTGTGATAATGGAACTTATGGCTCTCGGAGACTTAAAAAATTATCTCAGGGAACATAGACCAGATGAGGTAAGGTCACAGTTCTAAAAAGTTCTGGTTTTCTTTAACTTATAGGGAAACTTTAATTCTCACTAGATGCTGCAATCACTCCTTGCAAAGCTGTCTACTCTGTTCCATCTTACCATTGTGCCTTGAAAAGGTAGGCCTATCCTGTGTGGGCAAGGAAAATTTTATCACAGCAAACTTTAATTTCGGTAACTGCAATTGTTCATGATTCCAGCCATCTCATGGCTTTATATGTGAGGTTCAGTTGGAGGTTTTATCATTATGTGGGATTAATACATACCCTGTATTTTGCAGAGTTTGTCAAGTTCTAAATTTATCCTTTTAATTGAAAAGAAGCTTAGAAAGAAATGGAATGGATTCAAATGGAGAATTTCAAATGGTGAAAAACCGTGTTCTTTTTCTGTCACGCCTCCCTGCTTTTAAAAATATGAGTGACTGGTTGTCTTGTGCCGACTTACTGAAATATTGAAATTCCAATTATGTTACAATAGAGAGCTTTTTCAATAAGATCTAACAATCTTGTAATGGAGAGAATCTATAGACTTGAAAAGGCTATTTGAAAGCTGTTATCAGATTGACTGTTCAGTTTACTTGCAGTTACTAAAGTGGCCATCTTGTTTCAACAGAATTCAGGGGTTAGTCCTCCTAATTTACTGGACATTCTTCAAATGGCTGGTGAGATAGCGGACGGAATGGCTTATTTGGCAGCTACAAAGTTTGTGCACAGGGATTTAGCTGCCCGTAATTGCATGGTGGCACAGGACAAGACTGTGAAAATTGGAGGTTTGTATGCTAAGAAGCAACATGTATACCTGTCATTTTCCTCAGTTTCAGTTTGAGCCCCAAGTCTGCTTGTTACCACAAAAATTCTATTTTGGAAAAGAGTTCTTTTTTCCCCCCACTTGTTTACAAATAAAATTCTGTTTTTGTAGACCAAGTATTTTTCGTCTTTACCAGATTACTATAACTTTCAGCAAGGTTTTTTTTTCCTGGTAAAGCAAATCGGTGAATATCCACTTTGATTTGTCTTGAATTTTTCAACACTTGTATTTTTCCAGCTTCTGTTTTGGAGGACGCGACAGTAGAATGTAGAGTTAAAATAATGCAATTGTAAATGTTTGTGTCGAGGAATGTAGATCTAATGTATAATTAATATATTTTCATTTTTATTTGTACTCCTCCCTATAGCCCCCCATTTATCTGTTTTTTGGCTTTTGCAGACTTCAATTTACTCTACTGAGGTCTTTCTTTTGTTCAAAACAGATTTCGGAATGACCCGTGACATATACGAGACAGACTACTACAGAAAAGGTGGTAAGGGAATGCTGCCTGTACGATGGATGGCTCCCGAGTCGCTTAAGGATGGTGTTTTTACAACAACGTCTGACGTCTGGTAGGTTTTGACGGGTGATGTCTCATACTTTTTAACTTGCATTAGAACAGGTGTGCAGGTAGTATTATATCTGACATCTCTGTTCTTTATAAACAGACCCAATTTTGATTGTTTGGCTGCAACTCTAAACGATGAAGATGTGTTCGTAGTTTTGTTTGTTCTTATTTTGCACATGCTTATTCAATTTTTTTTTAATTCTTACTGGACACCATCTTGATGACACTGTAACAACAGATAAAAGTGATCCACTTTGGATTATTTTTTGTGAATATGTGTTTATCATATTGGCTTTGCATCATTGCTCAGGTCGTATGGTGTGGTGATGTGGGAGATGGTCACATTAGCTGCTCAACCCTATCAAGGCCTGTCTAATGATGAGGTGGTTCGTTACATTTCGGATGGTAGCACTATGGATATACCAAAGAAATGTCCACAAAAAATGTAAGTGTCTATTCCTCTATTTGTTATTTTTCTCTTTCTATGGTTTCATTTTCTTTCTTACAATTTAAAGTGTTTGGTATAAAGATAAAATGAGATAAGATAGATTTTTATTGTCCAGATCCTGGCACATTGGTTTGGCGTTGTGGCGTTTGGATAAGTTTGGTTTTTTTTACTGTGTAGAATAATAATTATAAAGCAGTGATTATTTTGCTGGAGTGGAAGAAAGAGAGAGAGATAGAATGGGTGTGAGGGAAAAGTTTTTGTTGCTGTGCTGATATTATGACAACTGGATAATTAGATGGTGTCTGCTATTGTGCTTTTCTGTGTTTCTGTTATGTAGTGTCTTTCTATTATTTTTAAAATCTTGTTTAAGACTTATTAGGAAGCTGAGCAGGGTTAAGAAATATTTGCTAAAGGGGTTTGACGGATTCACTTGGAACGATTTTCATTGTTAATGAACAATTAAGATCCATTCAATGGTTTATTTAGCGGACAAGTACCTTTGATCCATGTTTCTATCCTGATTTTGCAACTAATGAAAGTAAGTAGATAATAAGGTGGAGATTCTCCAAAGATGTTCAAAAGGTAAAAATTGTTCAGATTGTGTGAAGAGCTGAATGACTTCAACATCTTCACTTGTTATGGCACTGTGCTTTGGCAACTTTATACTTCTAACAATCAGACATAATTTAGACATGTTTTATAGAATAATTCATAGATGTAATGATGTGCTCACTTTGGCATATTAAAATAGTTGAGCATGGTTTATGGAGTGTTGTTAAATCCTGGTATATAATTTGGTGAATGGGCTGAACATAATGCAAATTAGACCTACAGCGATGATTCTACAGGCCCGGTTTTTCTTGAGTGGGAGAGAAACAAAAAGCCCCTTGAAGCTGAGTTTTGTACACTTCTGAGGATATCATTTGTTTGTTGGGTTTTTTTAATGTGTCTCAAGAATAATTGATTTGTCAGTGGGTAAATGTATAAAGAACTGTAACTTGTTGTACATGGGGAAAAAATATATTTGTTAAAATATTAGATCTCATCTTTAGAAGTGAATACTGATTTTAGAGAAATTTGTTTTAAGTATTGCTATGCTTTTTTTTTTGTTTCTAGACCTTTGACAGTAACCAGTGTTAGACAGGATCACATACATGTGTTCAACTAAGTTCTAATATTTGCATTCTTTTTCTGCCCAGGGCATATCTCATGCAACATTGCTGGGCAAAGAAACCAAAAGACAGACCAACGTTTATGGAGATCATTGAGTACTTGCTTCCACACCTCAGTGCTCGCTTTGAGAAAGTGTCGTACTTTTTCAATGATGGCGGAGGCCACACTGAGGGTGGTGGCAAAGGCACATTGCCTGACCCTGAGGACAGCAGTGATGCCAGCAGTATTAATAGCCTAAGCTGTGAAGGAGCAGCGGCATCACGGCCCTCGGCTAGTGCTAACCCCAGTGGCTACCAGTTCAAGGGATCACACGACAATTACCATACTAATTCTTTGTATGGAGATTTGAGCTTACACCATGAAGGATATTCAGATGAGGATGTTGAGGGGAGAAACTTCTTCCCTCAGAGTCATGATTTCAGGGGTGGTTCGTTAAATGACATGGATATCGGGGGTGACTTTCACTCTCCCATTGAGTCGGGTGTGGATGTTGACGATGTGAGACAACCATTCATGTCTGGAGACTTCCAGCCAGACTCACATATGCTGACGACACCCCCTTCGTTTGGTGTGGGGGCAGATCACGGATCACGCAGCTCAGGACTAATAGAACTTCAACCTTTGATAAATAAGGACCGGAGTATAAATCCGTCAGTGTCACACCAACTGAGTACTGTACAGAATTCTCATCCCTTCTCATCAGCAGACATTGCTCACCAACCATCAACATTCGCAAAAAACTCTGAGAGTGGCCCCCAGTCATCATCACAGCAGCAACACGCTTTCAGTCTGGTCAGCCCTGACCCTCTCAAATCGGGCCCGCCTCCTGACAGCTCTGCCGGCCCCAGTGATCTTACATGGGCCAAGAGACCTTTTGCTGCTCAAACACCCCCCGTGTCATCTTCTTCTAATGGCACACATCCTACTTTAAAACTGCCAGCTCTGAACCAACCACCTGGGAGAGGATTCCGCCAGGTGCCACTTGTCAGTTCAGGTGCTAGTGACAGAGAGAACTACAAGACCAGAAACTACCCAACAAACTCTAGCGAGCACCGCCCAACACTTTCTGTGCCGCCGACCAATTCGAGGGTAGTGAACATGGAGGAGGGACTGAGCAGCCCAGAAGAACCTAGTCCAAACGTTGCCGAGCTGTGCGACTCCCCCCCTCCCGGTGCAATCACCAGCTCCAGTGAAGGGAGCAAAGAGAGCAGTAAGAGCTCTGGTAGCCACTCACTTCTCAATGGATTAACTAATGGACACATACCGCTAACTTCTCTCAAACATCGGCCTGCACCATGCTAGCATGAGCTGTGGAGAGATGGGGGGGCCCTTATGGGAAATTTGGGACAAAGTGGGAATGGGCTGAGAGGGGAGGCTGGGAAATGGGTTGGACATGGGCACGGCAGAACAGAAATATGGAATGGTCATTGATTATGTAGAAAAGTTGAATGTATTTTTGTGCCTTGGCGTGTGCAACTTGAACGTTGACTATTCTTTGTAACTTGTATGGAATGAGCGATGACTTACGACTGACATCGCTTTTTGTATTACTCATGTGCAAGTCACCTGGTTGGGAAAAAACACAGAACAGCCCTCATTGTATAATATGAAAATTTTTAATGGACATGCTTATATTCTCATAGTTCATGATATTTCTATCCCTTTATTCCATTTCATGTGTATTTTAATTTGTAAATTGCATGTTATATGTTGATGTCACTGGCAAAGCTAACATAAATGCATTTTGCAATGCGGATTTGACATTCAAGCTTGTATGCGTCTAACATTTACAAGAGAATAAGAATTTGGTTGTTGCTATTTATGTTTTCTGTGTTGAGGTATTTCTTCTATGAAGAGAGCACTTTTGCCACTTATCGATTAAAAGGAAATTGACCTTGTTCAATTTGATCCCAAAAGTGACTATTTGTGAGGAATAATATTGTCGGAACATTTCTGGTTCCTTGGACATCGTAAGGTATCAGTATGTTTCAAGTGTTCTGTGCTCATAGGGAAATGACAAATCCCACTTGTTTGGTATCATGACTATGCTTGGGCCTTGCCAGTGGTCAGTTATGGAGCTTCAAAAGTGTTCATCCCTAAGCACAAGAGGGAAGAGGTTCTACTGTATAGTGGCTGTCAAAATAATTTGAATTTTCCAGACTATTTATGTCCTGTTATCCTTGTACTCTTTTTTTAGTTACCATATTCAAACTTTTTTTCTGAGCATTAAATGTATTCTATGTTGTTAGCTGCAAGTATTTGATTAAAATCTCTCCATTTCAGCTACCTGGTGATTTGACAGTCCCTGTATTATAGCGCGCTTGTGTCAGTTTACAATTTATCCCACTGATTTGTGAAGTAAAAGACTAAGCAAATTAAGAGTATTCATGCATGGATAACAGATTACAGTACTTCATTATGTTCTATCATATTACCCTCTGTATTTCCAATAGGCACTATTTTCACACCATGCTTCCAGTGCTGTTCAGTTCACAGGAACAGTACTTCGGTATTGGTGTTGACAAGAGCTTCAAATCAAACTTTCTCTATTTTCTTCCTTTTTGTTTTATGGAATAGGAAAAGTAAAAGGGGAAGAAACAAATCATTGGTTTTGGTTATACTGAAGGCTGTTTTAGCTATCATTTTAGTTTATTTATGTGCAAGTGGTAATACTGTATGGTTGTTTGTGTTGGAATTTGTGGACATCTAAAATAAATATTTGCATGTGACTTACTGGTGGGATAGTATAGCTTTTATGATTAAAGGAAGAGATTGGTTTTGATAGCAATGAGAAAAAAAGGGGTGAACAAAGAAAGGCGTAGTAAGATATGGTATATAGGTTAACGTATTAACCTAAACCTTTGGTGATACTTTGTTGACAAGTTTACGATTTGTAAGCATATGTGATGGCATATTTATTCAGATAAAGTCAGTTCCAAGGCGTAAACAACAGAAGTAGAACTGATCAAAAAGAGTGCCTTGATGTCTTTGAAGACAGTATTGATATGTCTGTAGTGACTTTTCTGGTCAGTGGCTTGGAAACAATAAATGCCTTGCAACTTGTCAAAGTGATATGGGAATTCCAAAACTATGATGGGTATGGTCATATTAATACTTGAAATTCCTTTTATTAAAAGTAAAAGATTGAAAGAATGTTGGTTTGCTTAAATTAATTTTGTACCATCTGTTTTACCTTATATGTTTAATTTAAACATTAGTGTTAAAGCTTTACATTCATTTTGATGCGTTGCCTGACAAATAGGTATTAAGTTTCAAATGAAATGTGTGGCGTAGTAAAATAGCAGAAATTAAAAAGACAACAGAGGAGGGGAGCATAGTTTACAAGTTAATAGGTCAGACAATGAGAAGTTGTTTGTTCACCATTTGAATTTTGTGGCTGTTTGAAACATCATTGTATTGTTTTGTTTAGGCTTTAGGTCTAGGACAAGCAAATCTTTCTTAGGATGGAGTTACAAGCAGTTTATGTGGGCTCCTGAATTATAGGCAGTGTGCGACATCATTCTTATGATTTTGCTATTGTTATCCAGTAATACATCACAAAGGGGCAAGTTTTTATGGTTTGACTATATATATATATATTGGGGGTTTTTTTGTTGCGGAATGGAAGGAGTTGAAGGACTAAAAAGCAGAAGAGTGTATTTCAAGTGGGAGTGTTGGTACTGTTTGAATGTCTAACTGCCAGTAACAGCGATGGGTCACACTATTAAAGAGGCAGAGTTTGCAAATGTCAACAGCTCAAGGACTAGGGGGACATTAATTTCTCCTTATAATAATCGTTTTTTTCTTTCTGCTAATTAAAATTTAAGCTACCAACTTATTGCGTATTCTCAACATTTAAAGGCAGTGAAGAGAATCTCATGGATGGCTTCATACATCAGAAGGAGTGAAAGACATCTTTGTGGCATTATGATTATGAACGTATGTGCCACGACATTATAGAATTGGGCGCTTGTCAATTTTTGGACATGTGTACATTTTAAAGCTTGTTCGTTTGTCTTGCTTTCGGTGAAAAAAATTCTCGTCTATCATTAATAAAAGTCAAGATATTTGCAATTGAAGGAGGTGGGGGTCGCCTGGTTTCAGAGGTAAAATTAACGAGAAAAGGGCCATCAAAGTTTGGTGACTTCTAAAGCTTAAAAGTCCTTTAAAAATGCAAATTTACATTTTTGTGCTTTAAATCATTTTCCAGTAAAATCCACACAGATATGTGTTTTTAGATGGACGTTAAAGGTGTTGAGTCAAAAAAAGAAAATTCATAAAAAAATTGCCACACGGACAGAAAAATGCCATTTTCTTCAATTTCATTATTATGACGAGCCCCCGATTTCACCACGATGCCTCACATATAATTATCCTACCAGTGACTGTTTTCCAGCATGTGTAGAGGATCAAGAGATGTGTTCTTGTCATTTTCCGCCATTCGTATTGCCTTTCAAGAGATGTCAAAGAAGGAAACAAAAGTATACCACATCCTCTTTATGATGTTTGCTTGCTTTCTTTTTCTCGCTCAGTGGCTAGAGATGTAAGTTTACTTTTTCCGTATATCTTTCTTTTTTACAGGGAAAACTAGCCTCTTAGATAGGGTTGTAGCTTTTTTTAGCTTGTCACTTTTGGTTAAGGGGTCCTAAGCAAATCACAAAATTAATAATAATGTGATTGCTCTTCATAGTGCATGAAGGATAATTTTTGATTAACATGTCCATTTTAAATGCATCAAGATTAGATACAAGATTAGATGCTTCTTTGTCTTTTCTTTTTTCTCCTCATTGTTCAAAGAGCTTTTTATCAGAATCTTTTGGAAATAATGATCTCGAAGTGACAGACAATGGCAAATCTTTGGGTGAATGTGAAAGAATGCCCTTGTGTTGGTCTATGGTTTCTGAAACATCCAGTTAGTGTTAATTGGCCAAGAAACAATAATTGCTCTGTGTTGTACAACAAGAGTAAAATTCTTGTCAAATTTAGCTATCTGACATCCCTTAGAAAAGAGTTTTACCCTCCTCTCCTGTAGAAAGATCTGCCTCTATGGCTTCACATATATTGGGTGTGCCTCATCGTAGTCAACATTCAAGTTTGTAACGGTTTTTTTTACTTTTTCATTTCCTTCATTGACGAATAATGAATTAGTTCTCAAAGGATGTTGAAATTGTAGTTACTTTTTTTCAACCTTAGTTCAATGTATCTTTGCCATAATGTGAAAGTATTGGGATGAGTCTGTACTTATTTAACTTATGATGACATGTGTCAATAAAGCAGTCATCTTTCAAAAATGAGTACAGTGTTATGCTCATGTAAATTCATTGCACTGTCTAAAACGCATAATGACTATTACTGACCGTTTAGAAACTTACAAGTGTTGAAAATTTTTTTGCAGGGTGAAGGTATGTGGTCTTGCTGTTCTGTTGATCATGTTTGTCCTTTCTGAAGGTTCTGTCCTTAGCTATCTAGTGTATTTCCTTCAGATATAATACTGTGACCATGCTTGCTGTTTCACATGTGTATATCAGCATGGTCTTGTAACTGCTCTGAGGTGGTTCATTATCAGCAGGAAACTCTAGAGCAAAGAAGAGATCTTTCAGTTTACCCAGTGATTTATCAAATGTGAATGTCTGTTGATTGCCATGGAAAGTTTAATGTTTTCAACATTTTCAGACATGCAAAATCCTCTTCTCACTTAGCTTTTCTTTTCTTTTTTTTTCTTTCTTACTTACCAGCTCTCCTTTTATGTGCTTTTTGAAGTTGGTGAGGTAGACACAAGTAGAACTAATGTCTTAGGGAAGTGACCATGAGTAAAACTGTTTAGACTGAGAATTGCACGTGAAATTTGTGATGAGGGACAAGACTACAGAATATTTGAGTGTTTGGAGAAGACATAAAGCACCAAAAAAAATGATGCGGCAGCACTATTTCTCCTAAAGACAAACTTTGTCACTATGCCGAGTCACCATATTAGTGCATTTCTTCATTATCGTTTTTTCTGCCCCAGCATGTAAAGATTTGCATTCATCATGATGTAGTGACACGAATCACTCATTTTTGCTATGTTTTGACAAGCTATTAGTGTTTTATCTGCACCGACCTTTCATCAGTTCATTGAAAAATGACCTACTGCTACGAATACTGATTCTGGAAACACATTTTGTTTGTTATTATTACATTGTGGGTTTTTGTGATTGTTGGTTTTGTTTTTCTTTTGGATTTTTTTGTTTGTTTGGGGGTTTTTTGTCCTCATCATTATGTTTTTGTAAATGCCTTTTCGAAAAGTACTTTATCTCTTTCTTCTTATTTTTTTCCTTTCTTTTTTTGTTGCCTTGTCAAAGAAGCTGAGTGTATTATTGGTCACAGATATATTTGAACTACCGTTGAATGTATTAGGCTACAATAGACAATAGACTACCACACCTTATTTCTCGCAAGTTCCCAAAATAAGTGTGGGATGGGGTGAAGGAAAAGTTGCAGTAGATACTACAGACCAACTTGCATGAAAGTACTTGACCTTGCTGAGCAACCACCTGATCACCATTACCTTGTAGAAGTATTTTTTAATGTGTATGGTTTCGCAGTAATCTGAAACTGAAAACTACTTTGTATTGTCTAAAATATCTTGTATAAGCTGTGGTGGGTTGACCCTTTAGCTACCTTACCTGTATTTCTTTCCAGTTTCATTTTTATCTATCACTTGTTCTCCTTGTAACATACCAGGTGCATACCAGAACTGTTTTTGAAAATCATGGTTTCTGTATGTCTGCTTTCAAGTATTTGATACAGCATTATGTATAACATCTATTCAAGTTTTTGTTCCAGACATGAACCTAGACTTAATTTTGTTATTGTGCTTTGTAGTTTTCCATCATAGGAGACTTGGACTTCATTTATCTTTTACTGGATAACTCAATTACTTCAAGTCAGCAGAGACTGGTTTAGACTTTTTTGTTGTGCTTTTCATTGTCAGTGTGTTGTGTTGATCAGATGATCGGAGTGTTATGTGGGAAGCCAAACTAGCTTAGCGCTGTAGAAGTTAATGTGAAATCTTTCACATTAGTTTAGAGTTGAAGAGTAATTTTAAAGGCAATGAAACTAGTCACCAAATTGTATAATCTAATTACATTCTTATTTCACGTGTACTATGTTTACTTGAAGTGTATGTTACTCTCTTGTATATCTTTTTGCGTAACTTGCAGTTTTATTGAAAGAGATACTTTGGCATTTGAAAGCCTCTACAGGGTCCAGATGCTGTCACTGATGGCGGTTTATGGAAATGCTTATCGCCTTGCAAGTGAAATTTATTCAATGGAGATAAAGTAAGAGTTCTTTTGTGGGGTTTAGTGTTTAAAAACATGTCTGTGAATACGCTTATGTTTGTGTGTGTTCATGGCAATAAGTGTAATGATGCAGTTTGAGAAGACATACAGCTTCTGTACACGTCTCTTTAACAATGGCTGTTATCTGTGAGTAGTATGAGCCCTGCAAGATCTTTGTGATACCAAAGTATTTCCATGAACTAAAGTGTAGATTATAGGTATGGTTGCTGGAAGCAGTAATCTTTCTTTTGGTCTTTTTTCAGTTGTTTTGTCAATTGTCTGTGTGTTTGTTGAGCTTATGTGTGAAAGGATTGACTGTGAAAGTGAAAGAAAGAAGTCTAGTAAATTGGGTATGGTTGGATGTTTTTTGGGGGGGGTATGTGTGTGTTAGAGAGAGAGTGAGAGGGGTGTTGATATTGTGTGTTTGCACTGAGAAGAAGCCAAGTGGCATATTTTATTAAGTTTTCTTTGGGGGGGGCAATTGTTTTCCACATTTTTTACCTAATGAGTGATGGGTTTTCTTCTAAAAAGAGACGACAAGGGATGATAGCATTATTTTTTAACAGCCTTCTGATGTTTGGTTTTATCAAATGGACAACTTACAGTCATGCAGTCCAAAGTGAAAACTAAGAAAGCAGGTCACGGTGTTGGGATTTCCTTTTTTTTCTGCTGCTCTTTAAAATTTATCTATTGCTCATAATAGTCATTTTTTAAAAATATGTATATGGGGGGGTGTCACTCCTATCTGTAGAAATTTTTATCTGAATATTTTTAAGCCAAAGTTTTCAAAGCAGTGATATGAGTTCTTTGATGTTCTTGATTTCCCCTCGAACTTTTTATTTTCATCATGTCAACACTTTATCAATTGATATTATATTTTGTCGCCAACTGATTGATAATGATGTACAACCTAGAAATTGCATTTTTAATCAACATTGATTTGTATTTGTCATTGATCTTTCATTTTAAGTGCTGTATGTTTCCTTTTCATGTGGTACAGTGAAATGTTTCAGACATGTCCAAAGTGATTTTGTACTGCTTATGTATTGTTATATGAATATATAAATATACATATAATTATATGTATATGTATGTATACATATGCATATATGTTGGTTTGTCCGGTGTTGGTAATTTGAGAAATGTTCACAAGTCACTGCTTTAAGTAGCCCATTTAACATTCATATTGTAAAAATTATCGGGTTGTACAACATTTGTTGCTAATCGAAGGTTATCAGGTTGAAGAATGAGTGTGTTGATGTGAGCAAGATGCCAAGAATAAAAAAAAAAATTTACTTGACTTAGTATTTTTTATTTCATAGTAGACCAAGTGCTCTCAATGCAAAATATTTTTCTTTCTTTAATCTCCAAATGGGTCTCAGTAAACATTCCTTAGTCTTGTCACTCTTGTCTGTCTATGAAGACTTCTCATCTTATCGCTTGAGGTATGATAATATGTGAGTGGGTGGTAGGTGTTCAGGTGTGGTTTACCCCTTCTTTCCTATTGAATATCTAACCTCGTTATCTGGCCTCCCTTTTTGTGTTGCTTACTCTCTGTAACACCTCACTCTAATCTTCGGCACATATATATGCCCTGTGTTGCAAGTGCCGTAAAACTCATACTAAAACATTAGGCCTAAATGATCTGAATGCACTTTTGTTTTTCATTACGGAAGCAAGCACAAAATGAAGTGTGTTGATCAAGAAGTACATA